ATGGCCATCTGATGCATGTGCAGGTGACGACTCCCACGCTTTAAACATCTTATCAGGCATGCATCTATCAATCTCTTTTCAATACCAAATGAACCTAAATTGTATCCAGTGTTCAAGGTGTTTTATATACTGTTTTCTATAGTGAGACGACATGCAACAGAACTATACATGATTACTTTTTCATTTCTTGAAGGCCAGATTACTGAATAAAACCACTGTAGTGATAAATCTGTCATTATTTTACAGCAAGTCTCAGAAATTCTCCAGCGAGATTCTAAAGCCAATCGTTCAGTCAAAACCAAAGCCGTTATCCAATTCGTTAGCGAGTTTGCAAATTGGTTGCCCCAATACTTCTGAGACTTGCTGTAAGACCTTTCCCTGGGACAGTACAGGGTTTGAACTTCAATGTTCAGATGTCATTTTTAAAAATGTCTTAGACTAATTTAAATATATTCAGGTGGTGCATCTTATCCAGTGGCTGCCATGAATTTCAGGCCCTGCAACATTCCTAAATAATTATGTGTATTCAGATTTTTACTTATTTGCTTCCAGATTACTGTAAAATACTTTATTTTAGCTGGAATTAATTTTCGCTGAATAGATTTTTGGGGTGTTTTGTATGGAATTTATTTTCACTGATTTCTGACAAGTTGAATGTAGAATATAGTAAAAATGGTATATTCGCTGGATTTTGATTTTTACTGAATCATTTTTTCAATGAAAATTAATTCCAAGCAGAAATAAAGTGTTTTTCAGTAATCTAATATAAAACCTGTTTTAATTAGTTTACAAATGTTTACATGATTTCAGAATTGGTAGCAATCCGCCTACCAGTATAGCTGGTTTCAATATTACAAGAGGTGCTAGTGCTTTCTCCAATCAGAATGTTATAAGCAGTGCCAGCCAAGCTGTTTTGAACAATTCATTTACAAGTACGGGTAAGGTTCATACTGGTTGTGGTCCCTTCCTAAGGTTTCTGAACGCACTGCACACAATGCAGGGTTTTCTCCAGAGTGTTATAGAATGTGTCGCTCTTGTGTGAAAAAGAAGATGATCTGATCAAAGACGCTAACAAGATCATAGATGTGCAACTTTGATTTTGGATTTATACCTAAATTTGTATGTCACTTTTCAAACAGTCACCATTTTTACATGCATGCACACCAAAAGATCAATGTTTCCCCAATTTTAATTTGTCAAATAATAAAGTGAAAATAATCCTAATGCCAGTTATTCACAGAAGCAACCTCAGTGCCCATAGCAATGTAACGTATAGTGCGGACAATGTGCTATTTTAACCCAATACAATTACAATATTAGGTACATTTCTAAGAGAATTCTGTATATTATTCCACTGCCACTGACCATTGATCGATTATATGCAAAAACAAATATGATGACTTAGAGAATGTTGAACAAGCAGCTGAGAACGGTGGTACACAGTGATGAAGAACATGATGCACAGAACCACACACTCTCGTTAATACAAGATGTGCAACATCTGGAAACCCTTGCATCAGTTGGTGATCAATTAGAAGCTTTTTTCCTTGCTGACTTGTCCCATTATGTCATCAGCTGATGCATATGCAATTTGGCCTGAAACTATGTGATGTTGCATCATTCAGAAAATTGCTAACATTGATATGTTTCAAATGTTTACTTAAGCACAAAATGTTTTTTGTTGCTATTTCTCATTAAAGTATTACTAGAAGCATGAAAAAAAATGTATAATAATACTTTGTAAGTTTATCATGAGAATACAGCAGGGTACACACAAAGGCAGTACAAAGTACCATCCTCTATTGCGCAGTAATATTTCCATTCATTTATTTGGGTTCAAGGGTTCAGTTGATGCAACTACATGTACCGGTATTTGCATGCCATAATTTGTATAA